TAATGAACTAAGTAAAAGCTACGTGAATGTTTCAGAAGGTTCAATTTCCAGCAAGTATCCAATAATAGTTAACCCTCACATCACAGGTAATTAGCAAGACCCAGGAGATTGTATACAGCAACAGAAAGCCGAATCAAGTTAAAGAAAAAAAATAGTAACTAATGAAGAGCTAGATGAATAACTCAGGAGGTTCAATTTCCAACAAGTATCCAATAATAGTTAACCCTCACATCACTGGCAACTGGCAAGAGCAAAGAGGTCGGATACAGCAACAGGGAGCAGAAATAAGCAAGGACACAACAATCAAGCTATAAGTATCAAGTTATATAAACGATAAAATATCAATAGCAATTAAGTGTATACCTTTGCAACCAAGTTAGCACCATCTTAGCATAAGGAAGAATGTGGAAGTGCTCAACTTTTGAGGTAATGCTCCATCTCCTACCATCTTTTCTAAACAACGAACCCTGCAAACTATTGCCAATAGAAACGACAAAAGTCATGAGCAAAAAAGGTATCCATGCATTCGACTTTTATTGCATGTGATCTCCTGGAACATTCATTCAAACCAAATACCAAATTCCAGTTTTTCTTTTAACTCTGTCCAATTACTGACTTAATCATATTAGCTTTTCAGCTGGAGGGACAGTAGAGAATAAACCAAGATACAAATTTAAAGATGGGGATTGGTGTCAAAGAAAAATAGTAAAACCTGTCCATAGCATCTTTTATGGGAACTTGAATTACATCTTCGGTCGCTGATTGGGTGCACTGAATCATATAAAAGCGGACCGCTGATTTTTCTTTACTTAGAGAGTATACAACATGACCATCCAAAATTTTGAGATCTCTTTGATTAATCCCTGTTTAGCATGAAAATAACTAGGATTAGCAAGTATCCATAAGCACCAAAGATAAGTGCCATATCCATAATATAGGACCACAAGAGTGATAATAGCAACAGAAAGGATGGCCTTAATGAACTTTGCTTCCACTCCGTTGCAGCATAAGGCAGACATGTAATAACTTTTTTTTTCAAGAAACAAACTTTTCATTGATAAGTAGACATGTAATAACTACACGAATCCAAGAATACATTCAAGCGGGACCTAAGAATAATTGAAATCTTTTAAAAGGACATAAAAGGTATATTTTAACTGAATGACCAATTTTACTATTGAACTTGCATCTTTTAGCAGTTATGTGTATAGAAGACTAATCAGTTTTTCTTTTTTTTGAAAATGAAACTGAGATTTCATTGATGTAATGAAAAGAACAAAAGGAAGGGAAGGCCTTCCAACCACCAATGGCGGATTACGAAAAACTCCTCCACCCTTCAATTAGGTTAGTGATGATACAACCTTGAAAGGATATAGATGTTTACACCAAGGGGAGCTGTAAATAATATCAAATAAAAAAAAAAGTATCAAAAGAAGGGGCCATATTGTTGAAAGCACGGTTCTTCCTTTCACGCCAAAGATTTCAAAAGAAAGCCCTACTAATGTGAGTCCATAGAGCCTATCATAGCATCTTTGAAAGAATGGCCTTCTAAGAGTGCTTGCAAGGAAGTCATGATGCTGTCTGGTGCTGCATAAGTGTAACCCCGATTCATGTTCAACCAAAATCTGTGGGCAAATGTGCAGTGAATGAAGAGATGGCTTTGGACCAATGTTTTAAAAGGCTAAAGGCGGCCTCGAGGCTTTTTCTCTTGAAAACGCGAGGCGTAAGCCTCAAGGCGGTATGAGGCGTAAGCCTCAATTTTAATTAAAAGAATTAAACAAATCCTAAATTTGTGTGGTCAAGTATTACCAAACATAATAGTTATATAAAATTATCAAAATATCCGCCTGTTGCTTGTCACTCAAAAAAAATTCTAAAAAAACATCATAACATCACTACTATTATCACCAATAGAACTTACTTATTCTATAAATTGTTGTCTTCAATATTTTTAAAGTCTAGGTAGTAAAAGTAGTAATAGATTGAATTGTTACACTTACAACTCTTGCTTAGGATTCCATAGAAAAAAAACCTTGATATTTTTTAAGAATTGGAAAAATTAATACACGAGGCGTATACTTTAAGCCTCAGTGCGTTTTCAAAGAGGCGTAAGCCTCTTCTATGCGAGGCGTAAGCCTCTTATAGTCCAAAGAAGGCGTAAGATTTGAGGCTAAAAGTTAGAGCCTTGCCTCGAGGCGGGCCTAAAGGCGTAAGCCTCAAAAGCCTTTTAAAACATTGCTTTGGACCTCTGAATCCTTTCTACATAAAACACACCAGCCAGGAGATAATTAGCAATAAGGTCTTCTCATTCGGATCCTCTCGCCCTTATTCATGCCTCCATGACATAGCTCCCAAAGGAAAAATTTAGAATTTATTGGGAATTTAACACTCCATACACATATAGTCTATCTTGCTTCTATATGGTTTTACAGGATTTGAGAGCTCTTCTGTAATTACTTTTTTTTAACAAGATACGAACTTTTCATTGAAAGTATGGAAAAGAACAAAAATTGTTCAAAGATACAAACTCCCGAAGGAGCAAGTGAGAAAAACTAAAAGAGACAAGCTTCCTAAAGAGAGCACTTAAAGCAAACAAGAATTAAACGGGAGCAGTAAAGGCCACCCAAAACAACATAACAAAAAGGATGAAAAACTAGAAATCTAAAAGGGATGCTTTAAACTTGGCTAGACAGAAACTATCCACCAATGACTTGCTTTTTCCTTGAGACAACGACCCAAAAAGAGGACTCCACTTAATTTCATCTGACTCCAAACTAGAAGGAATTTCCTGCTTGATACCAACAAGGCATAATCGCAGAACAAAATAAAAACAAGAATCTGATTTCTTCCACTCCTCTAAGAAAAAGTGTTGCACCCAAAACCAACCCTTTCTCCAAAAAGACCAATAAACCGCCAAAGAAAGCAACCAAGATATCATCTCTCGGATAACCACTGATCCAAACATCAAAATTTTCTAATTACAAAAATTCTTTTGTAATTACAATCTCGCAGATATCCTACAAAAGAAGATATCCTACAAAGGAAGCTTCCTGGTTATATCCTTTTGCCCTCAATTTGCCCCCTTTGTCAATCCAATGAAGAGAGCTTGGATCACATCTTTTTCCTATGTCCCTTTGCTCACAGTGCTGGGAACTAATCTTTGAAGAGTTTAATCTGACTTGGGTGTTTGGAAACATAGATGCTGACAATGTCCTTCAGCTTCTTCTCGAGCCAGCCTTTAATCCTGAAGTCAACCTTCTTTGGCTCAATGCTATAAAGGCAGTACTTTATGAGTTGTGGTACAAAAGGAATCCCAAAGTTTTCGAAGAAAAGAGACAATCTCCAGAGATGCGTTTCAGTCTAGCTAAGTTTAAAGCTTCTCAATGGTGTTCCTTATCGTCCATCTTTAAAAGTTACACTCCTAGTTTGATATGTTCTAATTGGAAAGCTTTTACTGTACCTTATTGTTAGAGTATATAGATTAGTATATTTTATATTCTTGTATTAATATTAATTTGTCATTTACCTTCTCCTTATAGGATTAGGTCAACCTTATATATTTGTCTATATATATATAGACTTTAATGAGAATACAGAACATTGGATTCTCTCCAACCTTAGTCTCCACATGGTATCAGAACTCTAGGTTTTTCTAAGTGTCCATTAGGATTTTGATGCCCATTAGGGTTTTGTGCCCATTCGGGTTTTGTCCCTTAGGGTTTTTGTTTATTGCTATCCAACACAACTCACTACGACCGTCGTCACCACCGGCACCACAGCCGGCCGTCGCCGACCACCACCGCCGGTCACCGCCGACCACCACTTCCGGCTGCTGCCGACCACCACCGCCGCCGCCGTCGACTGCCGTCGTTTGTTGATTTGCCAGCTGTTTTCCGATTGTTGTTCGTAGGTTTCATCTCGCCGCCAAACGCCGCGCCGTGTGCTTTCATCACCGCCAGTCGCCACCCGTTGCCTTCGCCCCTCGGGTTGTCATGGGGTAGCACTTAACACCTGATCCGATTCAAGCGGTCCAGTTCAACCGGTTTGGTTTCAAGTAGTTTGGTTCATCCGATTCAGGTTCAGTTCGGCCTGGTTCGTCACATTCCGGTTCGGTTTGGTTGATTTATACCGATTCTGGTCCGGTTCGTTTGTTTCAGTTCAATTGGTTTGGTTCACTTGGCTCTGTTCAATTGGTTTAGTTCAATTCCCTTTCCTCCTTCAGATTTGGTTTGGTCTGTTTCAGTGTCGTTTTTGTTTGTGTCCATATTGTTGAAGTTGAGAAGAAATTAATGGTAACGATTTCTGCAGAAGAGTTTGCTAAATTCCAACAGTATCAAGAGTCATTGATGCCATCATCCTCTAATCCAATCACTGTCATTGCTGATTCAGGTAATACCAATAAATGTCTTATTTCCTCCGCGTCAAAATGGGTCATTGACTCTGGTACTACGAATCATATGTCAGGTAACCCCAATTTATTTGCTACCTTTTCACCATCTACATCTTTACCTGATGTTACAATAGCGGATGGCACCACTTCTCCTGTTCTTGGCTCTGGCACAGTTCATCTCTCCAAAACTCTTTCATTGACCTCTGTTTTAAATTTGCCACAACTTTCTTTTAATTTGATATCTGTCAGTAAACTTACTTGTGATCTCAATTGTTGTGTCTTATTCTTTCCTGGTTATTGCTTATTTCAGGATCTTACAACGAAGAAGACTATTGGTAAAGGGCATGAATCTAATGGCCTCTACACGTTTGATACACAAATACCTACAGCCACCGTTTGCACTTGAGTGCCAACTCCATTCGAAGAACATTGTCGTTTGGGTCATCCATCTCTCTCCGTGTTAAAGAGTCTCCGTCCTCAATTTCATAGTTTGCATTCTTTAGATTGTGAGTCATGTCAATTTTCTAAGTTTCATCGTCTCACTTCCTATCCTAGAGTCAATACACGAGCTAATGCTCTTTTTGAATTAATTCATTCTAATGTTTGGGGTCCTTGTCCTATTGAGTCCAAAAATGGATTTCGGTATTTTGTTACTTTTGTCGATGATTTCTCTCGTGTAACTTGGTTATATTTGATGAAACATCGTTCTGAGTTACTTTCTCATTTTCGTAACTTTCATGCTGAAATTCTACGAAGTGATAATGCTAAGGAATATTTTTCTGGTGCTCTTGGCTCCTATTTAAGTGAACATGGTATTATTCATCAATCCTCGTGTGTTGATACTCCGTCTCAAAATGGAGTTGCAGAAAGGAAAAATAGACATCTTCTCGAAACAGCAAGAGCCTTAATGTTTCAAATGCATGTTCCAAAATACTTTTAGGCTGATGCTGTTTCGACGGCTTGCTTCTTGATTAATCGCATGCCTTCGTCAGTTCTTAAGGGTGGAATACCTTATCGTACCCTATGTCCTACGCAACCTTTATTTCCTATTAAACCTAAAATATTTGGTTGCACTTGTTTCGTTCGAGATGTTCGCCTCCAACTCACCAAATTAGACCCTAAGTCATTGAAATGCATTTTCCTTGGTTACTCTCGTGTTCAAAAAGGATATCGATGTTATTGTCCTGATCTCAATAGATATCTTGACTCTCCTGACGTTACGTTCTTTGAAAATACTTCTTTTTCATCGTCCTTGAGTACCAGCCAGGGGGAGCAGTCACAGGAAGATGATACATTTCTTGTCTATTCTATTGTCTCTACTTCTACTGAAGAACTTCCTAGCAATACATCTCCATCTGCGCCTGATCCTTCTCTCCCCACTATTACTCAAGTTTATTCTCGTCGGCAACCTCCTACGGACTCATGCCCTATACCAGCAGCTTCTTTGCCTGTGGATCCAGGAACAAGTGATGA